TATATATATATATATAATATACAGTCTGGGTTATACACATGCACGGAGAACGGGAGAGAGAGATATGAGAACGTCCGTAGTCATGAGTGTGCCATTCCGTACAGCTGAACCTCTGCGGGCAAAGGCCCGAAGGGCGATAGATCCCGCCGACGAACTGCGGGTGTGCGCGCGCACAAGGGGAGCAGCTGGACCACTGTTTCCCCACGCCCTGTCCAGAGAGAGAGAGAGAGAGAGACACAGAAAGGGAGGGAGGGAGAGCGAGAGAGAGAGGCTGAGACAGACATCCGAATTTGACATAACAGGATCCGTACAACAGGGACCCTACTTGCCAGAGCCCGCGGCATTCGCAGGCCTAGCACTGATGACGGAGTCTCTAAGACTGTCAGACGACCATACTTGAGATCCGTTTTACTCGTCGTGCCGCTCCTTTAGTTCCTGTGGACGACGTGATACAAAACCTAGGATAGCAGCAACCCTAAACCCTAAACCCTAAACCCTAAACCCTAAACCCTAAACCCTAAACAGTCTACTCCTGTACACTCCCTGTCTCACTATGTATCGTAAAAAGCCCTACAGCCCTTCCTGTAGAAACCTAAAGGCCCAGATATAGGGGCCTCAAGAATTACCTATATTATTTTGTCGGGTTCCTTATAAAGGTATATACTATAATATACCCCCAAAACCCTATTCTACTTATTAAGGCCCCACTCTTAAACCCTTATAGAAACCCTTATGAAAACCCTTTTGAAAGAGCCCTTTTCAAGGAGATCTATTCTCAAGAGACCCCCCTAAACCCTAAACCCTGAGCCCCTTATAGAGCCTGAAAGCCCTATTCTCAAGAGACCCCCCCTACGACTTAACCCTAAACCCAAAGCCCTAAACCCTAAACCCTAAACCCTAATCCCTAAACCCTAAACCCTAAACCCTAAACCCTAAACCAGACCGTCGGCGCCCGGACGATGGGAGAGATCGATATCGACCTCAGCGAGGCTCGCTGCCTCGGCGCAGATCAGCCCTCTAGGGTTTTAGGGTTTTAGGGTCTTAGGGTTTTAGGGTTTTAGGTTTTAGGGTTTAGGGTTTTAGGGTTTCAGGGTTTTAGGGTTCTAGGGATTTAGATGTGTAGGGCTTTAGGGTTTTAGGGTTTTAGGGTTTTAGGGTTTTAGGGTTTAGGGTTTAGGGTTTTAGGGCTAGGTTTTGGGTTTTAGGGTTTTAGGGTTTAGGGGTTTAGGGGTTTAGGGGTTTAGGGGTTTGGGTTGAGGGTCTAGGGTTTGGGGTTTTGGGATTTCAGCGCTTTAGGGTTGAGGGCTTTAGGGTTTAGGGGGTTGTTAGGGTTTGCAGTTTCGGGGGTTCTCCGAAACTCGAAAACCTATATAAAGAAACTCTAAGCCCTGAACCGTCAGACCAGACAGCAGGAGAGGGCTCCTTTAAGGATACTCCTCAGGGTGCTTTAGCAGGGTACTTCGGGTAAAATTTGTAGGGTGGTATAATAGAGGACATTTTCAGGTGGGTAGTTCCCGTTATAGTTATAGGAGCCTTTAAGAATGTCTATATACCTTATGGAAGCCGTATAGAAGCCCTATATACCCTAAACTCCCCACGCGTAGTTTCCTTGAGTATAATAAGGCATTGGGTCTATAGGGCCTTCGGGTCTTAAGGTGTATAGGGTTCAGGGTTTGGTGGCACCAAAGGTAGCTTCCTTGAGGCCCATGAGTGACCACGGTGGCATGGGGTTTGAGAAGGATTTCAATCGGAGAGGGTGTCGGTGATGAGGTCCTTAAACAT